AAATCATAATTATTTTAACCAACTTTTACAGTTCTTTTTGGACAGACTGTGAGAGGCCCATCTTACTGCAGCTGGTGTTGGGTGCCTTAATCATCTGAGTTGTAGCTAACCTGAGCTGGAGGGAGCGTATGCGTGTATCTCCCTCTTTCTCTCTGTCGTACTGTTTTTCTCTGTATCTTCAGGTTTTGATGAGGTGTGGAAAAGAAATTTTCCTTTGCAATCACTAAACATTTCACTGGCAGAAAAAAACATTTCTCATCCATCTCCAGTCAATGTTTTGTGCCCTTAATTTCTGATGAGGGAACAATCTTGTAATGAGCAATGCAAAATGGCATCGTTAAAGGTCGTTACAGAACTGAGATGGTACCAGCACACTGTGTACTGCTACAGGAGATTCCCTAACTCTCTGAAGATGAACCGTGAAGGCTGGTTGATGTTATATTTGGTGGGGTTCCTGTTAAATTGCTCCTTTTCAGTGGAATAAAGACCATATGGGAACTAGAGGAGAGGTCATTTCAGTCCCTTGCTTGGTGGTTTTATGTGACATAGGCTGTAAAACTTTTGCTATTGCTGTGTACAAGGAGAAGAAATTGTGTGTGTTAAGGGTCCTTTTCTCTTCCTTCTCATAGTGAGGCAGGCACCAGGGCCAGAACAGGGTCATCTGTGGAGGGGTCCTCAGACCTTCAGCTTCGATGCAAAGATTTTACTGCTGGTGAAGTACAGACACTGGCAGAAGTTGTCACCATGCAAATAAAACCTTTTTATTTATTTTTTTTTTCTTTTTCTCTATCAGCAGCTATGCATAGCATCTCCCCATTGGTAGAATAAATCTGATAAAAAAAAATGTAGTTGTAAGCAGCAATGATTTTATCCTACTGAAAAGATTTTATCCAACAGGAAAAATGTTGTGCCTGGGCATAATTTTTCAGATATGATGAATAACAGCATAATATGACCCTCGGTCCTAGTTTTAAAAGAACTACTGAGCATATCAGATGTACTCAACTTTTTCTCTCCTATCATTTTTTTCCACAGGCAGAGTTTGGTTTATGGATACATCTTGACAAAAATCTGCCACAGGCAAATTTCAACAAAAGAACAACTTCAAACACATCCAATTAACAATTTATGAAAGGAAATCCAACAGAAAATTACACAGAGATTTGCAGGGTATAAAATTTGGCACTAAATCATATTTAATGTGGAAATGACTGTATAGGGAGTTATGGCCCCTTGCAGTGCATTGTCAAAAGGAACTTTATCTGTGGAGGCTCAGTGAGTGCCCTCCATCATTTTTTTTTTTTTTTTTGCTTGCTATAAATAAAATATTTTGTCAGACAAGGCAATGAGCACAGCTTAAAAGGGAACAAAACTCGCTGATAAACCAAGCTGTATGTAGTTTTCAAGCAGAAGTATTAAAAGTCATCAGATTTCTTCAGACTTTCGATCCCAGGATTTGTTCGCTTTATCACAGAAATGAGGGACACTGTACCATCAACAAACACAAAATCACTTTTGACTTGTTAGCACAGCCAGCCACCGTACGTATCCCGATAGCTCGTCATGGTGACTATATTTAAATTGAGAACGGAGCCGTTTTTATGTCTGAAAGGAAATTTCAGCCCTGCTACATCCCGTTGTTTCCTGATTTGCTCACTCATTCAGAAGCCATGGTCGGATTTTCTGGAAAGATGTTAAGGATACAAACTCACATAATTGCCTTCAGCAGCTCTGAAATTAACTTAAGCCACTACTTTGTTTAGGCAAAAACATCTGTGTCTAGACCATTATCTATTTAAACACATGAATAGCCAGCTTTTGTAAGAGACTACTGAGCAGCACCACTTTCATTGCACTGTCTGGATGATATGGGGGACACACACGTTATTTACAGATACCAGGACCAACAAGTAGGGATGAGTAATAGAGTTGACACAGGCCAAGGTCAAGCATATTTATGATACAACTGTGGTCTTACACATACTAAATAATTCAGGAAGGTGATTCTGCCCCTCTGCTCTGTTCTGGTGAGACCCCACTCGGAGTACTGCATCCAGCTCTGGAGACCCCAACATAGGAAAGACATGGACCTGTTGAAGTAGGTCCAGAGGAGGGCCATGAAGATTATTAGAGAGATGGAGCACCTCTCCTATGAGGGTAGGCTGAGAGAGCTGGGGTTGTTCAGCCTGGAGAAGAGAAGGCTCCGGGGAGACCTCAGAACCCCTTCCAGTACATAAATGGGGCCTACAGGAGAGCTGGGGATGGACTTTTTAGCAGGGCATGTAGTGATAGGATGAGGAGTAATGATTTCAAACTGAAAGAGGGGAGATGTAGATTAGATATTAGGAAGAAATTTTTCACTCTGGGGGTGGTAAGCCCCTGGCCCATGTTGCCCAGAGAACTTGCTGATGCCCCATCCCTGGAGATGTTCAAGGCCAGGCTGGATGGGGCTTTGAATAACCTGGTGTAGTGGGAGGTGTCCCTGCCCATGGCAGGGGGTTGGAACTCGATGATCTTCAAGGTGCCTTCCAACCTAAACCATTCTATGATTCTATGTTTCTATGGTAATTTGAAAAGTTAGTTGCTGTATTGCTGACTCTCCCATTAATCCCGTGCTTCCACATGAGAACAGAACAGGAAATGTTTGATAACTTGTCATTGTGTTATCTTCCACTGAAATGTGGAGCATGGCTTTACGTGTCCATTTGTGTGCAATTAGGTCCATGGCAGAGATTCCTTGCTGTGACCATAGTACAAGAATTTCATTAAATCACTGTTTTCCTGCATCTTCAGAGGGCAGCCACGTAGGCCTTTCCAGCCTACTTGGCACTGTGCAGTATAACTGCCTCCTCATGTCCTAGTTAGCCCACTGGTGAAGATGAGAGGACACCTCTGTCACTATAAATGAAGCATTAGAGTGTGCCCCAAGGGAGTTTTTTTTTTTTTCTTGAGTCCATTAATATACGCTTTTGACAGTGAAACACTTTACCAGATAAGTTAGTGTCCAAGGCACGTAATAATTAGTGAATAAAACACCCCCAGCGTATCTTAATCCTATTAAAATGTGTCTTTTAAACTGTAAATGAAATTTTAACCTAATTTTAAATGATTATTTTCTTCCTGTAACACGCCCTTTCTCTGTAGATAACAGATCCCAGGGAAGCAGAAGGTGAAACAAAGGCAGGCATTAATGTAAAAGATTTTAATCTTCTGTTTATATTTTTGAAAGGCACTTGACTGTTTACTGCCTATTTTTCTGTATGCCTCTACTTCTTCCATCACCCCGCTTCCTTCATCACGTTGTGTGATTTTCTTTGTCTGTGACTAGATGATGGCAATAGTAATAATGAATTTGTTTTGCAAGGCAATGTCTAGATTTAGGCACCTGCAAAAATTCTTTAGTTTCTAAATGCAGAAATTATACAGTTTTTAAAGAGTTAAAGCGTTAAATAAAAGTTTCCAGGTGCCTGATATTCTTCCAGGTCTGTGCAGCTAAAGTGCCTAAATGTGATTGCAAGAGTTAAATATTACCCATTTTCTCTATGCCTCTATCTCAGTTCCTCCAAGGCAGATCTCTAAGCAAACAACAAGAAGTAAAGCACATTATAAGTGATTTCCTCTCCCCTCCATTCCCCTGTCTCCCTCATGTACTCTTGGTTAAGCTTCTCATTCTTGCTGTGGTGATTTGGCATTGTTTCCTCTGCAACTGCCACTCAGGTCCTCCCAGTTCTTCCAGTTCTCCTGCCTGACTGTGTCCTTCCAGCAAGACAGCTGATGGTCTTGCTTCCTTTTAATTCTGTGGGAATTCAGGGCATTTAACATCTTTGAAAATTTAGCCACAGCAAGAAAGCAAAGGCCTTTATTTCTCAGGCACAACCCGTTGAAAAGTCCCAGTGTTTGTGCTGCAGATAAGTCCAGATGCAGAGAACTGAACATCCTCCTGAATTCTTGTGCTTGTTTTCTCCTGTGGCTTTCAGGGATTTTGGGAACATTCAGGTCAAGAACGTGCTGTAGCGACTGCCATTTCTTCTTTCAACTTCAGAGCGTCAGAAGCAGTTGGATTGCTTTTTTACTGTAACTTTTGATTAGGAGTCAAAGCTCAGATCAAGGCCAGTTCAAAGGACCATGTGCATTGTTTGAAGTGAAATACTCGTGCGGTTGTAGGATTGGAGTCTTCAGCAGTGCCTATTAGATTAGAACATAAGTTTAGCGTCCTGATTGCCCATACAAACCTTGTGTCTGTTCATCCTCTGAGTCCAGTCTAGGCTGAACCTAACCTCTTTATAGGCACAGAAGCTACAGGCTGGGAGGAGGAGAAGACCTTGTTAAACCTCTGCCCCTACCTGTAGTGTGGTGCAGCTAGATCATGACCAGACTCTTTCAATCTGGACCTGAATACACGCACAGCTCTCAAAGGCAGTGTGAACATCTGGCTACCTCGAAAATGGTATGTGACGTGGCAGCAAAATCAGGTCAATTCTGGAGACTGAACACCATGAAAGCGTGAGAGGCTCAAACTGATGACTATGCGGTCACATTACTGTAATGATTTTCCTTTTTTCTTAGCTGTATTAACTCATAAATAGACAAGATAGCATCCTTTGCTATGTTGAATGTCAAGAGTTGGGTCGTAAAGTCTTCAAGGCAAATGCATAGGCTTTATGAGAAAGTGTCTAATCCCTAAAGAATTTGCAGGAAAATCAGCAAGGTAAATGTGTCATTTTTCAGATACACATACAAGTTTTTGTTGTGTCAGAACTGGTGGAAAATTGAAGCTGGTTGCTGGGGCTCAAATGTAGCTCAGGAGATCTGTCTTCAGGTCCTAATGCTTCCTTCGGGGCTTGATATGTTTACTCTCATGTAACTTACTCCTCTTCACCTTTTTACCACTGTTTATGACATCTATTTTATTACTATTTTCTTTTCCCTTAAGAAGACTATGTAAAACTGAACAATATTTACACTGCTTTTGCTTTCTTTCCATTCTCTCATCTCAGCAGAGCCCTAGGACCCCCTTCTCTGACCTACCTGATGATGAGAAGATCTTTAATGGGGGAGATGACATGTGGCAGAACCAGAGCCAGGATCAAGCCTTGCTCTCGGAAATCACAGAAGAGGACCTGGAGGCTATCCGTCAGCGGGAAGAGGCCATTCAGCAGATCGAGGTCAGTAACCTTCTCCCGTCATGGGCTTGCAAGCTGGAAGTGCAGGTTTGTTGTGTTGTGCATTGCTCAACATGATGAAGAAAATGCTGACTTACATGGCTGCCTGTACAGCATCGCTAAACATGGGAGAGACTATCAGATGTTCCTAAAAATCAGTGGCAGGAGGAAGAATTAGGAATACATACGACCTGTAATGAAAATGACAAGAATTAATTAATCTTCATGGGCTAATAATAGCTCAAAGTTAGGCAGGACTGTCAACCTGCCAGCCGAAGTTAGGCAGGACTAACAACAGCCAGCCAAAGTTAGGCAGGACTGTCAACCTGCTTGAGGGTAGGAAGGCTCTACAGAGAGATCTGGACAGGCTGGATGGGTGGGCTGAGGCCAATGGTATGAGGTTCGATAAGGCCAAGTGCTGGGTCCTGCACTTGGGTCACAACAACCCCATGCAGTGCTACAGGCTTGGGGAAGAGAGGCTGGAAAGTTGCCCAGCAGAAAAGGATCCGGCGGTGTGGGTCAACAATTGGCTTAATATGAGCCAGCAGTGTGCCCAGGTGGCCAAGAAGGCCAATGGCATCCTGGCCTATACCAGAAATAGTGTGGTCAGCAGGACTGGGGCAGTGATCGTCCCCCTGTACTCGGCACTGGTGAGGCTCCACCTCAAGTACTGTGGTCAGTTTTGGGCCCCTCACTACAAGAAAGACATGGAGGTTCTGAGTGAACTGGGGTGTGTCCAGAGCATTTCCAGAGAAGGGCAATGAAGCTGGTGAAGGGTCTGGAGAACAGAGGAGTGGCTGAGGGAACTGGGGTTGTTTAGCCTGGAGAAGAGGAGGCTGACAGGAGACCTTGTCACTCTCTACAACTATCTGAAAGGACGTTGTACGGGGGTGGGGGCTGACCTCTTCTCCCAAGTAACAAGTGATAGGATGAGAGGAAATGGGTTCAAGTTATGCCAGGCGAGGTTTAGTTTGGATATTAGGAAAAAATGCTTCACCAAAAGGCTTGTCAAGCATTGGAAGAGGCTGCCCAGGGAAGTGGTAGAATTGCCATCCCTGGAGGTATTTAAAAGATGTGTAGACATGGTGCTGATGGACATGGTTTAGTTGTGGTTTTGGCAGTGTTAGGTTGATGATTGGACTTAATGATCTTAAATGTCCCCTTCCACCCTATAGAGTTCTATGATTCTATGATTCTAATGTTTTGGGTTTGTTTGTTTTTTTTTTTTTTTTTCAGTGAGTCTTCCATAACCAAGTTTGTAGTGAATTAGTTTAATTGAGCTTGGTTCTGCATCAAAACAACTTCCTTTGTGCATGCAAACTTGAAACTGGTTTTTGTCACTGGCAGAAGATATTCAACTTTACCCTTAGAGAGAATAATAGGTAGACAAGAGGAAATAACTTTTTAACTTTTTCAAATAATTCAATATTTTTGCTTTATCAAAGCATTTGGTTGTTCTTAATGTAGTTAAAAGAAGACATACTATTTTTGTTCCCCCTTTTTTTTTATAAGTGCTATAAATAAAATACAAAAAAAAGGAACAAAAAGAGGTTTGAATAAGTTAAACATCCCACATTTTTTCTTTTTATACTTCTCTTTTTATGCTTTTGGGAAACTCTTGTTACTCAAATTTAAGCAATAAATGAGTAAAAGCAGAACATTATAAGTCTTTCTAATTTGTATGCTTTTACAGACCTAAACTCAAGATGAACCAAAAAAAAAAAAAAAAAAAAAAAAAAGAGGGCTTCAGAATAATCAGAACATTTAATTAAGGACTATACTTTGTCCCTTAATTGGATTGAGCTAATTTTATCAGAATAGATTTTGGTTGCGGTATAGCAGGAATTGTGATTGAGTTAACAGTGCAAAAAGGGGACAAACGTTCCTGCTGTAGACTGGTGCTTTTCGAGGCGTTGACCTCTGTTTGCAAACAGTGATAGCTACAGATGATTCAACACCGTAAGTAAGAAATTTTGACAGTTTTGTAGGAGTGGGTCAAGGTTAATGTATGTCTAATTTCTGCTATGGTTTGCTGAGTAGAGATGACTGAGCTTTTTGGACTTGCGTGCATTAGTAGGGATGGAATTGTTGAAGAATATTGTCACACAGAGTATCCTTGGGCATGAATTGTCCTTTGATACTTAAGGAATCTCTTTGTATCCACCAGCTCAAACTCTAGGGAACTTTGTTGCAAGAAAATTTATTGCGTGTTTTGGGATGCTCCTGCACTTTGATATTCAAGAAAGGTGAATTCAAAGGTATTTCTGAAACGGTGTTGTGGATATAAAGGATATTGTTGTGATCCTTTTCTTTGAAATATAGTCACTGCCTTTTTCCTTCTGTCTCTATGTTTCCTCCCTGTCATGTCCGGGAAAAAAAAAACAAACAAACAACACAACAACTTTAAGTGTTTCCCCATTAGGCAGTGGAGAATGACAAATCCCAAGCCAACCTCAAGCACACCAACTTTGAGAAATCAAGAGGTGTAGTCATGTCTCCTCAGAGAGATCCTTATTTTGCTGGTTAAATTCCATTACTGTGCCACAAGCTGACATCTTTGCGTGGGGCCACACTAGACCACATGGGGCTTTTAGGGTGAGTTAAGGGAATCCAGTCCTAGCCCAACATAACTTCTAAATAAATGCAACACATTTATTGTGCAGGTTGCATATCTATTGATTTGGTACATCCTGTTTACCTTTCTGCCTAATATGAATACCTCTGAATAACTTTCTCAACTTACGTAGTTAATGTTGTTCAGCCGTCTGCTTCCTCAGAATGTGTGCGCTTTCTTTTTATGTTTTTGGTGGGTTTTTTCCCCCATCTCCATCACAGAATGATAGAATCATAGAATGGTTTGGGGTGGAACAGACCTTTAAAGATCGTCTCGTCCACCCCCCCTGCCAGAGCAGGGTCACCTACAGCATGTTGCACAGGCCAGTGTCCAGGTGGGTTTTGAATGTCTCCAGAGTGGGAGACTCCACCCCCTCTCTGGGCAGCCTGTTCCAGTGCTCTACTACCCTCAAAGTAAAGAAGTTCCTTCTCATGTTAAGATGGAACTTCCTATGTTCAAGTTTATGCCCATTACCCCTCGTCCTATCACTGGGCGCCACTGAAAAAAGACTGCTGCCATCCCCCTGGCATCCTCCCATTAAGTATTTGTATGTATTAATAAGATCCCCCCTCAATCTTCTTTTCTCTAGACTAAAGAGACCCAAGTCCCTCAGCCTTTCCTCATAAGAAAGGTGCTCCAGTCCCCTAATCATCTTCGTTGCCCTTTGCTGGCCCCTCTCCAGCAGTTCCCTGTCTTTCTTGAACTGGGGAGCCCAGAACGGGACACAGTACTCCAGATGCGGTCTCACCAGGGCAGAGTAGAGGGGGAGGATGACCTCCCTCGCCCTGCTGGCCACACTCTTCTTGATGCACCCCAGGATGCCATTCGCCTTCTTGGCCGCCAGGGCACATTGCTGGCTCATGGTCATCCTGTTGTCCACCAGGACTCCCAGGTCCCTCTCCACAGAGCTGCTCTCCAGGAGGTCAGCCCCCAACCTGTACTGGTGCATGGTTGCTCTGAGCAGGTTGCTCAGAGCCCCGTCCAACCTGACCTGGCATGTTTCCAGGGATGGGGCATCTACCGCCTCTCTGGGCAACCTGGACCAGTGTCTCACCACCCTCAGTGTAAAAAATTTCTTCCTTCTGTCTAGTCTAAATCTTTCCTCTTTTAGTTTAAAGCCATCGATTCCCGTCCTATCACAACAGGCCCTGCTAAAAATCCCTCTCCAGCTTTCCTGTAGGCCCCCTTCAGGTACTGGAAGGCTGCTATAAGGTCTCCTCGGAGCCTTCTCTTCTCCAGGCTGAACAACCCCAAGTCTCTCAGCCTTTCCTTATAGCAGGCGCTCCATCCCTCTGATCACCTTCACGACCCTCCGCTGGACCCTCTCCAACAGGTCTATGTCCTTCTTATGTTGGGGGCTCCAAAACTGGATGCAGTACTGCAGGTGGGGTCTGACCAGAGTGGAGCAGAGGGGCAGAATCACCTCCCGTGTAGCCACCATCATAGCTACATCCATTTTGTTTTGCTGCCAAAGATCCGTGTTTGTCCAGGAAGGAGGACTGCATTCCAAAAGCACTATTTCAAATGTAGCTTAAATAGTTCTCCCCAGCAGGAAAATGTTTAGGACCAAAAGTATTTTATTTAACATCTCTTTTGAAAGAAATGTAATGAAAATGAAATGGATTTTTGGACTGCATCCTACCTCTCCCCAGCTGTGTTTGAATAAGCAGATGGTGCTTTTAAATCATTTTCATTGTTTTTTGGTTTTTTGTTTGTTGACACGCATGAACTTATTTCTTGTGAAAGGACTCATCTTGCACATTAAAACATCCCTGATTTCATTAGAAGTTTGGGGTATACAGAGGAGGGACTCACTGAGCTCATAGTCACCCTTACAACTTTTTTCCAATATGTTTTCAAAACCAGTGAGAAGGTTAAAAGGAACCATTATTCCTAACTGTCAAACACTGCTAATAAACTAAATTTATTGCCAAACTGATGTATAGCATTTGTTCTCTTTTGCTCTTTGGGGACCAGAACGAAGAGCAGAGATGTGCAAAACATCTCTTATGCAAGTAGATTGGTCTTGCTGGGATTTTTGCTTTCCTGCATAACTAGCACCAGAAACTTATAGATCTTAAGCAGCACAGAAGAGGTCACAGAGCATTGCTAGAACATCATATCTTCTGGGCCACACTGATTAGTTTGGAGGCACTCATGGTACTGGTAGCTATAATGGGTCTTTTTTTAAGAGACATTGAATTTGGCCTTTTTGAAAGAACAGATATAAAACCTTTTTCATTGCTAAAGAAATGAGGAAATAAATTCTCTTCCCCTCTTGTGTCCCGAAAAACAGATATAAAATTGTGCTCATAATAGACATCTTCTTAATGTTCCAATGACTCTGTCCCACTCGTGTGTTTTCCACATCTCCAGAATCTCTTCAGAG